GTTTTTCAAAAAATTGCTGCAGAATGCAAGTTCCAGAAATTTCTATGTGACATTGTACACATGAGTTCATTTTCTGAGAAATTCTTTATTCCTAGCATAAGTGTACCATGCTATAATTCTACCTAAGTTATTATTTTTAGTAAAAAATAGTGAACACCCGGTCAATGAAGATTACTCTGTCAAAGCTTAACATGCAAATGGCTTGAAAGAAAATTAAATACTCATTTTCTTAGGTATTAAAGCTAAATACTCACATAGGTATTTTTAAATGAAATGGCTTTCATTATATTACTTTCATAAAATATTATTTCGATCCCCTGTTCTTGGTCATTTTCAGTGATAATTGTAAGAAAATATATCTTCTCTTAAGGTAGCAAATCCCTTTGAAGCTCAGCTGATCTTTACCGAATAAAAGGGTATGAATATCCTAAATGTCATTGACTGTGGTTCCACTGCATAATATTTAATGGTGTCACTAACTGCCAAAAATTATTGTGATGTATATCGCAAAGAGTACATATATTATGAAGTGAATTCTGCGCCCTTCAAAAAAGATAGGTTGAACTCCTAACCTCCCCCCATACTTAGATTGTGGCCTTATTTGGGAAAAAGATCTTTGCAGACATACTTAGTTAAGGTGAGATTACACCGGAATAGATTCCTGTAAGAACGTGAGCACGTAAAGACAAAGAGACCCAAGAAAATCACCATGTGAGATTGCAGACAGGCACTTGCAAGCAAAAGAGCTCCAGGAATTGACCGCCGCCATCAGAAGCTAGGAAGCCTCATCGCCAGCTTATGCTGCTGCTAGATGACTATCAGTGAAATTAAACCTTCATCACATGTCACTCAACTAGTCAAAATCCCCAGGTGCCTGTAAACACTGAATTCATGTGCCATCTAAAATGCTACATTAAGAGTCTGTGCTCACTTCTTCCCACTGCAATCTAATCTGTATATTCCCAGTCGTAGAGACTTTGCAACTGTCCTGCCACAAGTCTTCATAATGTGTCTCTCACTTTCTAGCCATAGAAGATTTGCTCATCCTATTCCAATTGTCTAGAACACCTGTGCACCTCCCCTTATCCAAATCCTACGATTCCTTCATATCCCATCTAATACCCCATTCTCTACATGAGGGCTGTTATGGCTTCTTTCCTTAGCACAGTACTACCTTCTTCTTCCCTATACTCAAATAACAGACTTACAGCCCTTCCCATGTTTTCTTTTGCATTTTGCCTTCATGTGTAGTCATTCATGTTCTTGGCAATCCACCTTTTGGACTATAAGCCATTTAAGGGCAAAAGTGTGCTTTATTCATCTCTGGTTTCTTGCACTCCACTGCCATACACATGTAGTCGCTTAATAAATATACCTTAAATTAGCCCTACAAGTTAAGAGAATTCTGTTTTCGAAATGGAGCCTTGAGACAAGCTGGCTTTACTCCCCCACAACCCCATGGAAAACCAAACCCAAATATACAGTGCCATGATTATCACCAGCAACATCGCAGGACTCAGATATGAGGCAAAGCCCGTTTTAGGGGTTGCAGAGAAATGAAAAGCTTCAAGCACGTGGCAAAAGAATCCCATTTCCATATCCAGGATGCCCTTCCCTTCAATTGCCTGGCACCGAGAATGTAAACAATTTCTCTCAACTCATGGTTTCTGTACTGAAATAACTGAGATCTGAGGTAGATAATCAGCTTCCCCAATATCTTGCATTCCATAGGAGTAGACTTCTCCTTGCCTCAACCCGTGAAAATTATCTGAATCTCTGAAGAGAGAAATATCCCTGAGCTCAGCCAGAGACAAAGGCGAAAGCAAAACTCTCACCCCAAGGCCTGCAGACTCCGCTCTGTAACTCAACCAAAAAAGACACCAAATCAGAGTGGCTCTTCAGTAGCAACACGTTGTGGGAGGTACATTCCACAGGGCAGAAACCCCTAGCCAGCCTTCCCTTTTGCTATGACCTCTGAATTTTCCTTTAAGTTTCTGTATCAATGCTCACATATGGCTGTCTCATTAGGGTCATAGCAAAAATTCAATGTCATTCAGAAAAGTTCATAAAACTTTTGGGCTAACCCAAAAGATGACTGCCTAAAGAGTCTGGGTCACATCTATCCAATTTTACCAGAACTATTCCCTTACTCTGTCACAGTTTCCTACCTCTAAACCCCTCTACTGCCAAAGCTGAAGGCATCTAACGATTTAGCTGAAGGAAATGCTCTTCAGAAGCGTGAATTGCCATCAAAATGATTTAGAGACACAGTTAGATCTAAGTATATTACTTTACTTTCTCAAAGGTAATCATAATATGTGTCCTACTATGCACAAGCTTTGATTATCAGATATTTTAAAAGGGTGTTAAATCATATTATTAATCAAAGGGGAAAAAATGTAGAGGAAACAAACTAACATTAGTTAGCCACAGATGCCATAAATCTCTTAACTCATGTCATCTTCAAAATTACCCATGGAGTTTGTCTTCACCTTGCAAAATAAAAAATCAGGGAAGAAGGAGGGTTTCAGAGTTAAACTCCATGACGAGGCACAGTCAGCTTCAAACCCAGCTGTAACGCCTGGGACCATGTTCTTAATATCACACCACACTTACCCCAGAAAGTAGGAAATGGAGGGCATAATGGTGATGATCAGTAAACAACCTCTTCCGTCATGCTAACCAGGGAAACAGGGATTAAGCAGAAGCGAGCGCTATGACCTGCATAATTTTGCGTTCATCATTTGGTGAGTGCACTGCATTTATTTTTAGGTTTCAGGTTCAGAAGATGGTTAACTTCACCCATTCCTATTTTTCTAGCCAGGATGTTGAAGTTCATTGCCTGATAAAATTTCATAAAACTATAAAATCGTTTTGTGATATTACCACAAAATTTTGGAAAATAATTGGTTGGCAAAAACAATGAATTATATTAACTTAGTCTTAAACCTGGACTATAGAAACTGAATAACACTGAAAGTTACCAGAGTGACCATTTTTAGTGTTTCTCTCTCTTTTTGACAAGCTATTTTGATTTTTTAAATTTTTTTCCCAAGAAAATTGACCTGGAATTATTGTTTAAAATGTAGTCTTTTCACATTTGCATTAAAAATCTTTGACTTCGAATGAGTAAGATTCTACTGAAGGAAAGACAGTTTCTGCTCCTTTTAATACTAAAATATATCATGTTAATTTTCACTTGTTAGTCATAACTTTCTGATTCTGTTATCCCTAATTTTAATTTGATGTTAAAGAAATTTAAAGTTAAATTCTGACTTCTAACTGCTCTTTGTTGAAAATTTCTTTATTGGAATTTAGAAGGATAGGATTCTAAAACACAGTAGTGAAATGCTATAGAACCCCAAAACAATAAAAATTAAGGAGACTAAATTCTTTCTATATTAAATTAAGAGTCTCTAGCTACTTAAAGAATTAAAATCAGATCTCTGATATAGTATTTATGGTGAGAATGTTAAAGAAATTGATGTACGATTCACTTTAGTATTTTAGTTTAAATAAATTTAAGGAGATTCAGAAGACCGTGTGTTTCCTTCTAGAAGCGCTGTTTGTCTTACGTTTCAGCGGGGCTGTGCCTCAATATGAGTCAGACACCTCCATCTGGTGGCCCAGCCATAAAATTCCCATGCTATGCTTTTTTTCAAGACGCTCTAGGTTTGTGTTGTTTCAAATTCCTGAGTTTTTAAATTGATGGTTTAATCTTATTTTAACTGTTTTTCTCAAAATTTATTTCTCATGCAAAAGCGAATGATATTCAAAATAATCAGTGACCTTTAGGTAGGAAGCTAAGCATTGTCTTATCTCTGTTCCTACAAGTCATTACAAACCATGAAAGACAGTTGCATTCTTATGGCCAGTGAGAATAGCATTTTCTTCTATTTCTCTGAAGAGAAGAAAAGAGTTTCTTTTAAATTATTTAATATTTGAAATATCATTTCACAGTGATACAGGCACAGTTCTTTTCAATATTCTATTTTATCAGCCTATGATTATTTATTAAGGAACAAGATCAAAAGCCTCATTTTAAACCCAAGATATATTATTCCTTTTTCTTTCTCACAATTTACCAAATTAATTCCATTATTATAGAGATAATTTTATTTTAGATGATTTTGGCCAGTTTTCTTCCTGAAGAATCAATGCTGATGTTTATTCAACATACATAAATTTGGGGTTATGTCAGGTTTTTTTTCTAATATCTGTAGAATACTTGTGAATCTGAAAATATATAATTTTGAGTCATTTATCATTTTGCTCAACTCATAATGGGATTTTCTTTTTCAGTCATTAAACAACCCATCTCTCTATTCTATACTCCAATATCACTGCTCTGTGCTTACCCCTCCTCTGCTCTCAGACCATTCTGATGTCTTCAAAACATGCGCTGGGACTCACATTTAATTTTTTAAATGAGTTAATAAATGCAGCATTTCAACAGAAACCTTTATTTATTTATTTTGTTAAATCCAGCCATCTATTTCAACAGGGATCTCCTCTGACTCTATATAGCATTGAAAGGAATATTGGAGAGTTCAGTGACTAATGAGGTCTCTGGTTACCTGTTCATAACCTAACTAGCGTCTTAATCTTGCCATGCTGATATTTATGAAGACTTTAAGTTTTTGTTTAATATATCCTATCGCTTTCTCTTAGCATCATTTCAACTGATTTTGAGTGTATATTAACTCCAATTAACTACTTTTCCATCATCCTGTATCCTGTATGAGAACAACGGTTCCGTCATTGTTAACTTATTCTGTTTTAAATGTCGTTAAGGTTCCACACTCACACCTCAGTGTTGCTGTTCACTTACTCTTTTCATGCATGTGCAGCACGCTTTACCCATTGGCCACTGCATAGTAAAACTCCCACTTTCAGTAAATGAGAATAAAAACATTCTTGACTAAAATAACAAGGAATTATTTTTATAGAATTGCAATATAACCGTATAACCAGAAAGGAAATGTCCTTTTCCTTTTCAGAGGCGAGCTGCTGATAATTTAAGAAGACATCACCAATACCAAGTAAGTTGTCCTTGTATTGTGTCTTGAAATTTTCATTAAAATAAATGCAGTCCCCCCTTCAGAACTGACTCAGGAGAGAAGTTTATTTACACATTGAATATCAATACTCTTGTTCTAAAATGCCCCAGGAAGTTATGAGGAACCTCGTGAAGCGCTACGTTGCTGCAATGATTAGAGATGCTAAAACTGAAGAAGGCCTGACCGAAGAGAACTTTAAGGTAACCGTTTTCATCTTCGTCACAAGAGGCAGATTGTGCAGAATACGGATCCAGATAGAGCACAATTAAAATCAGAGCTGGAATGGAGCCGTGCGTTCCAGCAAGCCTGTGTGCCCTCTGATTTTTCAATTGAAACCCTGCGGAACTGTAAAAAGAGAAGAAAAGCAAGTGGTTAAATTTCTTCTCAAAATAAATTGTTTTCAAACATACAGAGAGAAGCCTAGTGCTTAATGGCATTCTGACTTACCTGATCCCAGAGTGAGCTTCTGTTTCTGGAATTTCAGCCTGATTTTAAAATCTGCAACATTTAGTAAATAACACCTTAACGACGAAAGCTTGCTGCATGTTCTGCAAAACTTTGATAGCGATGAGTTTATAATTTGAGTTTAATTGTAACTAACACACTTATAAACTTTCTCCTTGATAGTTTCTCAATGTGTAAGAGGAAATAAGTAGAATATGTGGAATATTATGTGTTTGAATCACATGTTTAAAATAATTTAGTTATGTCATGTGAGTGTTTCCAGATTTTGGAGGAATGATTAAGGTCAATAAGATCCTACAGGCAAAAACAAACAAATAAAATCTACAGGAGACAGTTAACATAGAAAGTAGCAGGTTTGAACATGAGAATGAAGTAGTGAGTTAGGTAAGAAGATAGAGAAATTACAACACTTAAAGCACAGGTTGAAAATTGGCTACTAGCCCAGATTTTCATCGCAGCCATAAAGTTCAAATTGTAAAGTTAAATGATTCATGTTGCTTTAGGAGATAGGTTGGGGCAGGAAACTACCAAGAAGGCTGCCAACAGGTTAAGACTGAGAATTCAATTGCCCCAAAAGACAGAGGAAAAGGATGAATCTAAGAAATGTTGTTAGATCGGAAGCAATTTTTAGGATGTAGAGGCTGACCCAGATGTAGGGAGAAGATCCTCTTTAAGAGAATAAGCAACTGAAAATAGCTATTCAACTCTTAGAAAGTTAGGCTCCACTTAATTTTCAGATATCCCTTTGGACAGAAAACTGTGCCAATATTAAAAATAAAACCTTATAAAATACAACCCAGAGACAGGTAACTTGCCAGCAGATGAATAATTTGGAGAGGAAGTCTTCAAAACCGTAGTCCCAGGGAAACCCAATGTACTCAGCTGCATCTTGGTGGCAAAGATAACTCATGTTACTTTTTGCATCAATCTTAGGAAGTGTCCTTCCCAACTGCAATAAGGAAATTAGGAGACACCAAAATGACATCAAGTATCCGTGAGAGAACTGGGAATTCTAAATAGAACCACAGTCGAGTAGAATCCTTGTTTTGAAAAGGAGTCAAAACATTTCTGACTCATATATGAGACAAGAAAATGTTTCCAAATGTTTAAGTCATAACCTAATTTTTCATTTTAAATTCTGTGTAGGAACTAAAGCAAGACATTTCCAGTTTCCGCTTTGAAGTTCTGGGATTACTAAGAGGAAGCAAACTTTCCACGATACAATCTGCAAATGCCTCGAAGGAGTCTTCAAATTCGGCAGACTCAGATGAAAAGAGTGATAACGAAGGTAATAGCAAGGACAAGAAAAAGAATTTCAGCCTTTTTGATTTAACCACCCTGATTCATCCGAGATCAGCAGCAATTGCCTCTGAAAGACATAACATAAGCAATGGCTCTGCCCTGGTGGTGCAGGAGCCACACAGGGAGAAGCAGAGAAAAGTGAATTTTGTGACCGATATCAAAAACTTTGGTTTATTTCATAGACGATCAAAACAAAATGCTGCTGAGCAAAATGCAAACCAAATCTTCTCTGTTTCAGAAGAAGTTGCTCGCCAACAGGCTGCAGGACCACTTGAGAGAAATATTCAACTGGAATCTCGAGGATTAGCTTCACGGGGTGACCTGAGCATTCCTGGTCTCAGTGAACAGTGTGTGTTAGTAGACCATAGAGAAAGGAATACGGACACACTGGGGTTACAGGTAGGCAAGAGAGTGTGTCCTTTCAAGTCAGAGAAGGTGGTGGTGGAGGACACGGTTCCTATAATACCAAAGGAGAAACATGCAAAAGAAGAGGACTCTAGTGTAGACTCTGATCTAAACCTCCCGGACACAGTCACCCACGAAGATTATGTGACAACAAGATTGTGATACATAAGGGAGGAAGCGTTTACCATACACATACGTATTTTCTGTAGTGCTCTGGATGAGGAAAAACGTTTAAAATTAAATTAGCAAATGCTGACTTACACTTTATAACGTTTATCAATTGTGGCATATTAACCTGTAATGTTTAAATAAGGCAAAGGCAATCAAAAACCTTTTTGTTTTGTAGCCTGCTTTTGCTTTCACAATTTGTTTTACAATTGTTTTTGTTAATAAATAAACGCACCTTGTATTCTTGTACTGTTGCAATAACCCTCAGAAAAATTTTAGCTATCTTTTTCAATTAAAACAAAGGCAATTTATTTCATGTGGTAGCTGACTCCTAAAATAGGTATTTTTATATGCAAAAACCAATGTGGCTGAAATATTAATAGCTTTTCATAATTTTTTAGAGTCTCTAGAGAGGGTTACTCACCAAGGACTTTTCACCTAGTCCTACAGTTTGGCTTTAAAACACAAATATTACCAAATGATTTCTTAAGGACGTGTAAATAAGTAATATACACAATTAAAGCAAGAAAGTCTTCTCATGGGTTCATGTCTAAACCCCCTCAACGTCAGAAATACTTTGCAGAGTTTTCGGTTTCCAGGGTTTCCTTTCAGTAAGTAAAAGAAGTGTTTGTCTTAATACATTCTGATGATTGATGATTTTTAAGGACAACTCGTCAGAAAAAAAAACTCGCTTCTCTAGTTTTTTAAAATTAGCTATTTCAGATTCAACTGCTTATCAGTATAAATATGAGTCTTTATGAATAACTGATTTTCAAAAATATGGCAAAATTTCTGTTATAGAAAAAAGAAACTATAATATTGTAAGCATCTTAAACAAGCAAGATGATTGCATACTAATAATATCCAAATGAAGGTGAATTTCTTCTAACAATCTAAATAGAAGTAAACTTGAATTCCAGTACTTTCAATCAATGCAATGTTGTAATCAATTCAAAAGAAGTATAAAAACCTATGTATCTCCTTTTTTCATCAATAATTGGTATGCATTTCTTTAAAATTAAAATCACTCAAAAATGTATTATTAATTTTGTCAGCAGATATAGATACATTTTGCCTATAGGAACCACATTCTTATTTTTTGTTTCTTTTTTCTATTGTTTGCAAGGCATTTAGCTTATTATAATTCACTGAACTATTATAAGGAAAGTGTTCACAATTTACAAAAAATTGGTACTAGAAACTTAAAATTTAAATTACATTGCTCATGTCCATTTAAGCCACTGTAGAAAGTTTCTTCACCACTTACAATTAGCATTTATTTCAAATAAATAGAAAAATGCTGAGTTCATTTTATTTCAAAATTACTCTGTGAACCTCAGAAATTGCATACGATTTTTTACTGGCCCCAAACAGCATAATATTATGGCACTCGGTTTCTGATTATCAAAGGTCCAAAATAAGGAATTAACAGCAACAGCAATGCCAGTTTTCGTTCTATTCCTATACACCTATTAACATATAGATACTGCTCTTAACAACACTCTGAAGTAGCTCCTGCTCTTATCCCCATTTACAGGTGATAAAACTGAGACCAGCTCTAACTGGCTAAGGTAACATAGCTAGTGATGGAGCTGTGATGTGTCCATCAGAGCCATTCCCTTCACCACTGCATTGTACTGCCTTTCAGAACACAAAACACCAAGTCATAAAATACACACATACAGGGGTCACCACAGCCGCTTCTGAAGTCCTAGCCATGAGAGAGAATGAGTTTGGTAAGCTTCATAGGTGTCCCTTCTTGAAATGCAAGAGAAATGTGCAAAATATAAAATGTGCTGTTTGAGGTCTGTAAGTGAGTACTTCAAGGGTTTTTATTTCTATTCATATTTCTATCCACAGAAATTTCTAAATGCTACAGAGAAGTTTGAAATCACCTTCATTTACATAAATAATGTTTCTGTTTTTCATGCCCTCTTAATCCTAAAAAATCTATTTTTCTTAAATTTTGTCCCTGAGTTGGGTGAAGGAGTGTGTTGAAAATTCAGTTTAATAGACTAGCAGGTAAGTTTAAAACACTTTGTTAATCACAGATATATTTCAGAAGCCCCATTTATAAGAAAGTATGCTATAAAGATACACCTCATCATTTGTAATAAAGGTTTTCCTTAAAATTTCTGTGGAAATAAATGTATATTAATTTCAGTAAGGAAATTGGCTATATTTTTTTAAATGGTGGTGAATTATCTTGTAAAATGAAGTAATTTTTCAAAGTGCTAAACATCCTCAGAACGAATCTCTTTCGTGAGCTGGGTATTTGTGTATCAAATATTCTTAAATTAGTTACTCCATTTACTGGGAGGCAATTAAACTAATGCAAAAACATACTCACTTTCTTCCTTGACAGAGACAAAAACTTGAAATACTTTAGTGATCAAACAAACTGATGAAAAGTCAAGGATAGTAGACTTACCATACTATTCTCAAAGAAGCAGAGTCAAATTTCTAGCAAACATGGAGGAAATAGAAGTAACAATGGCATAGGAAAATCTTTTTCTAACATTTGATAATCCTTCGTAACTCTGGGATTTAGTTGAGTAAATGACCATCTAGTCTCACGGCTCTTTATTGAAGAGCAGCCACCAAGTTTTGAAATCCGTCCATTCGTAGGCCTTTTGCATTGTATTTTTAGCTGTCTTTGATGGTCCATACAGCTGTCTTCCATACTCAGTGTCCTTAAAACTCAACCTAGGCCGGGCGTGGTGGCTCACGCCTATAATCCCAGCACTTTGGGAGGCCGAGGCAGGTGGATTACGAGGTCAAGAGATCGAGACCATCCTGGTCAACAAGGTGAAACCCTGTCTCTACTAAAAATACAAAAATTAGCTGGGCATGGTGGTGCGTGCCTGTAGTCCCAGCTACTCGGGAGGCTGAGGCAGGAGAATTGCTTGAACCCAGAAGGCGGAGGTTGTGGTGAGCCGAGATCGTGCCATTGCACTCCAGCCTGGGTAACAAGAGTGAAACTCCGTCTCAAAAAAAAAAAAAAAAAGAAAAGAAAACTCAACCTAGCAAGAACCATCCATTATGGACCTATAAATATGCTTACAATGACTCAGATTTCAGAAGACCAGAACTCTGAATATACTTCACCATTCTGAAAATTATTTATTCTGTTTTTTATTATATATATTTTTCTTTCCTTGTATTATCCAAAATTTGGACCTAAAACTAAACGTAGAATTTAGAAATTTAATATTGCTGGCATTCCTCTTAAAGTCAACTTCAAAACCATTATTCCAATAATTTTACAATGTCTGAAAAGGCATTTTATTCATACAGTGTTATCACACACCTTTCAAAATTTAAATTTTCGAACCATGTTAAATAAGTTCACCATAGATAACTGGGGAAAGTAAAGCTCAGGGGATTTATGGAAATTATCTCAATTTACCCAGGTATTTGGTGGTCAAATTGGGTCTTATAATCCTCCTCATCTAGATATCTGGATGAGACATCACATTACAAATGCCTTCATTACTGACTTTATTTGGGAAACACTTTGTCTTCTTTGTCCTTGTGGAAGTTGTCCAAACATTCAAGTTAAAATTCAGAATTAATACCATATTATATTTTGTTTTTCTACAAAGTTGTGTTGAGAATTTTTTAAAAGCTGATTTCTTACTGCTTTCAGAGAATACACTGTTCATTTTCCCTGAAAGTGTAGATTTTATAACCTATATGCATATTGGTAATAATAAACTATATTAAATAATATCAAAACTTCTCAACTGAAAAGCGATAGAGACGAGCAATATAAAGCTGAACTAAGATTGGGACAATGGGACCAAGCCTGGGTACAGCCACACCGTTACGAGGCTGACAGCAAAGATCTCTCTGGAAGTGACATTCACCAGTAGCAAAACCATTAATTTCCTTTTGAGCTGCACTGTTCAATAAGGTAGCTCCTAACCACATACGGCTGTTGATCACTTGTAAGATCTGAATTAAGATGTGCTGTAAGTATAAAACATACACCAGATTTCTAAGACAGTATGAAAATAATGTAAACTAGCTCATGAATATTTTATATTGGCTACATATTGAACTGATAGTATTTAGGAAGTGTTGATTTAAAACATACTAAGTCAATGAGTTTTATGTTTCTTTTTCCTTTTTCAATGTGGCTACCAGAAAATTGAAAAATGTGTATGTGGCTTGCATTTGTGCCTTGCAATATATATCTGTTGGACAGTGCTGCTCAGGAACATCTGTATTTGTTTCAGTCAACTCATGTATTTCCATCATCTGAATTACAAAGGTAGAAAATTCTGTATTTAATTACTCAAAAAAACTCTATGTAGCTCTACTAAAGTCTGCAATCTCTCCTTGATTTCTAATCTAATGGAATCACTGGTAATAATTTGCTGTTTTCCATGTTTTTCCTTTGCCTTTACAAATGTATTAATATATAAATATACATGCATATATACAGGTTATGGCTTTGGTATCATTTTTATCAAGAATTTTATCACTCTATACCTATAACTTAGCAAACGTGTTTATCTAACAGTGTATCATGAAATAATTAAATATAGTGGAGTTATTGGAGTCTAGTCAAATAAATTCCTCCACTAGTTATTTTACCTAGTGAAATATCATCACGTGCTATTTTTAAAACCATGATAGAAGACCTGTTTATTGGAGAAAACACAAGGTTTTTAAGCAACGACAAATGCCTGAAAGACAAGGTATGTCAGAAAGGCAAATAAGCTTATTTCTCTCTTTCCTTTACAGTCTTCCAGGGCTTGGTTTCTGGTACCAGCGTCACTTCGCAGTAGCATTCTCTCGCACACTATACTTCAGCCATTCTAAACTTCTTTATTTTATTTATTTTTTAATCATTCTTTTTTTTTTTAGGTAGAGTCTCACTCTGTCACCAGGCTGGCATGCAGTGGTTGGCTCACTGCATCTGCTTCCTGGGTTCAAGCAATTCTCCTACCTCAGCCTCCTGAGTAGCTGGGATTACAGGTGCACACCACCATGCCCGGCCAATTTTTGTATTTTTAATAGAAATGGAGTTTCATCATGTTGGCCAGGATGGTCTTGATCTCTTCACCTCATGATCCGCCCTCCTCAGCCTCCCAAAGAGCTGAAATTATAGGCATGAGCCACCCCACCCAGCTCCCAAGCTAAACTTCTTTTAGCTACTTATGAGTTAGTACTGTTCTTTTCCGTAACATTTGCAAACATTTTTCCTCTGTGCTTGAATAGGACTTGTACCAAAATGCTATTTTAAGTCATAATAATACAGGATTTTAATTAATTCAAATCGACTTATTTTATGATTTCCTTTAGGTCTGATCTAATTGTTTTACCAAAATTTTTTTTAAAGAAAATATCTTCCTGAGAGCGCATGTAAAGAGCCAGGTTATCCCTCTGGAAATGAGGTGTGATCCACATTGACATGTGGATGTACTTCGAGAGGTTTAATAACTCCCAGGAGAGTAAGTACACTGTGCTGCTTCACGATTTAGAATGCAGAATGCTCTGCAGCTCTGGGAAGGCTGAAAACTGATATCTTTTCATAGCTACTGTGAGACCTCAGTTGCTGATATTTGAAATTTCTGGAAGAAAATATCTTACCTATCTAAAAAATATGTAACTATACTAAGTCCCCTTTCTAAAGTTAGTAGTACAAATATGAAAGTAGAAACACAGAAGAATCAATGAAGACACCATAAAATATTCAGTGAATGATTATTTCTCCCATTAAAAAATTAAACTTTAAAAAAGTTTTTTTTAGATTATCATAGATTCATACCCAATTATAAGAAATCATATAAGCACATCTCATGTACCATCTACCCATTTTCCCTCAATGGAAACATCTTTCAAACTGTAATGCAAATATAGAAGGGTTTTGACATGTGTTGCATTATCCACAGATCTTATGCTGATTTCCAAAGATGTACATACACTGTGTGTGTGTGTGTGTATTTGCATGTTTATTTAGTTCTGTACAGTTTCACGACACATACAGAATTGTATATATACAACCATAGACTAGATACTGAAAATTTCCATCCCCACAAGAATCCTGGAATTGTCCTTTCACAGGAATACCTCAGAAATATTGTAGGTTTAGTTCCAGACCACTGCAATAAGGCAAATATCACAATAAAACAAGTCACACACATTTTTTTGTTTCCCAGTGCTTATAAAAGTTATGTTTATACTATACTGCAGTCCACTAAGTGTGTGATAGCACTTTTTCTAAAGCACAGTGTACATATCTTAACCGAAAACAGTTTATTGCTAAAAATTGCAAACAGTAACCTGAAACTTCAGCAAGCTGTAATTGCTTTGCTGGTGAAGGGCCTTGCCTCTATGTTGATGGCTGCTGGTTTATCAGATTGCTTGTTTTCTACTTCTGGGGTTGCTATTGCAATTTTTTAACAATATAACATTAAAGTTTGGTGAGTTGATTGACTCTTTCACAAAAAAATGTTCTCTGTAGCATCTGATGCTGTTTGACAGCATTTTACTCACAGAGATTTCAAAATTGGAGTCAGTCCTTTCAAAACCTACTGCTGCTTTAACAATTAAGTTTAAGTAATCTTCTAAATCCTTTGTAGTAGCTTTGAATCTTCACAGCATCTTCAACAGGAGTAGATCCCGTCTAAAAAAAATCACTATCTTTGCTCATCCATAAGAAGCAATTTCTCATCTATATTAGTTTCATCATGAGATTGCAGCAATTCAGTTATATCTTCAGACTCCACTTCTAATTCTAGTTCCTTTGCTATTTCTACCACATGTGCTGTGACTCCCTCCACTAAAATCTTGAAACCTTCAAGTTCATCCATGAGGGCTGGAATCAGCTCTGTCCAAATACTGGTTTATGTTGATATTTTTATCTCTCCTCATGAATCACAAATGTTCTTAATGACATCTACAATGGTGAATCCTTTCCAGAAAGTTTTCAATATACTTTGCCCAAATCCATCAGAGGAATTACTATCTGTGGCAGCTACAGCCTAACAAAATATATTTTTTAAGTAACATGACTTGAAAGTCAAAAATTGTCCTTGATCTATCATGGGCTATGGAATGGATGTTGTGTTAGCACACATGGAAACATCTCTTTGTACCTCTCCATCAGAGTTCTTAGGTGACAAGGCCCACTGTAAATGAACAGTAGTATTGTGAAAAACAAAACTCTTGTTCTGAGCAGTAGTTCTCAACAGGGGGCTTAAAATATTCGGTAAACCATGCAGTAAACGGATGTGTTGTCATCTAGGCTTTGTTGTACCATTGATAGGGCATAGGCCGAGCAGATTTAGCAAGTTTTTAAGGGCCCTGGGATTTTCAGAATGGTAAATGAGCGTGGCCTTCAGTCAACAGTTGCATTATAACCTAACAAGAGAGTCAGCCTAGCCTGTTCTTTGAACCTTTGAAGACAAACATTGGCTTCTCCTCTCTAGCTAGAAAGTCCTAGACAGGACAGTAACTTCTCCCAGTAGAATGCTGCTTTGTCTTTGGATGCTTCACTGCACCTTCTGCATTAACACTTGCTGCTTTACCTTCCACCTTTATGTTATAAAGTTTGCTTCTATTCTTAAACCTTGTGAAACAATCTCTGCCAGTTCCCAACTTTAATTTTCCAGCGTCCTCACCTATCTCAGTCATCACAGAGTTGAAGAGAGTTAGGTTTTTGCTTTAGATTAGACTTGGCTTAAAGAATGTTGTGGCTGGTTTGATCTATCCAGACCACTAAAATTTTCTTCATATTAGCAATAGGTCTGTTCTGCTTTAACATTTGTGTGTTCACTGGAGTCACTCTTTTAATTTTCTTCAAGAACTTTTTTTTATATTCACAGTTTGTCTGTTTGGCACATGAGGCTTAGATTTCTTGGTTTCTGACAAGTTTTCCTCACTAAACTTCATTATATCTAGCTTTTGATTTCAAGTGAGAGATATGCAGCTCTTTCTTTCACTTGCACACTTAGAAGCCTTTGCAAGGTTATTAATTGGCCTAATTTCCATATAGTTGTGTCCAGGGGATAGGCAGGCCAAAGGAAGAGAAGAGAGATGGGTCATACCTGGCTGGTGGAGCTGTCAGAACACACATTTTTGGATTCAGTTCACCATCTTACCTGGGCACAGGTTGTGTTGCTTTCAAACAATGACAATATTAATATCAAAGATCACTGATCATGGATAATTGTAACAGATATAACCATAATGAAAAAGTTTACTATATTGTAGAATTACCAAAATGTGGCACCAAGGCACAAAGTGAGCACATGTTGTTAAAAGATGTCATCCATAGACTTGCTCAATGCAGGTTCTGACTGTAAAACAATGCAATATCTGTGAAGCACAATGAAGAAAACTGCGGCGAAACAAGGTATACCTGCAGAATATTCCATTTCCCGTCCTCCACCCCCCGCTCATCCCTCACCCCTGACAGCCACTAATTTGCTATCCATTTTTTATTTTGTCATTTTCAAGTCAAAACATTTAGCAGTGTTATATAAATGGAATTATGTACCATGTAACCTTTGGAGGTTAGTGCTTTTTACTCAGCAAAATCCTCAGAAAATTTATTCCAGTTGGTTTTTTTTATATCTATCAATCGTTTGTTTCTTTTTTGTTGCTCAGTTTAATTCCCTGCTGTGGATACAACATTTGTTTAGCACTTCATCCACGGAAGGATAGCTACGCTGTTCCCAGTGTTTGGCTAATACAAATAAAACTGCTATGAACATTTATGTACAGGTTCTGGTGTGAACTTAAGTTTTGTTTGTCTGGGATAGATCCCCAGAACTACAATAGCTAGGTAGTATCGTAGCTGCATACTTAGTTTTATAAGAGGCATGTGAGCGTGCTGTACTTTTTATACACTTGCTAACAAGGTATGAGTGGTTCCCTTTCTCTCTCTTTTTTTGCTAGCATTTTAGGTGGGTACCAATTTGTATTTTACTCATTCTGATTTCTATATAATGATATCTCATGTGATGTTAATTTGCATGTTCCCGATGGATAATGATTTTAAACACCATTTCTTGTGCTTATTCCTCATCTGTATGCCATGAAGGCATACTAAATCAAATTAGAATAATGAAATTATAATTTTTATGTCTGCTCCTGTCATCTGTACGTTTTCTAATTAGACTGCTTGTATGTTTGTTTTTATTGTTTACTCTTTGAGTGCTTTTTTATACTCTTGATACCAGTCATCTGTCAGATGTGCTTTGCAAATATTTTCTCCCAGACTGTAACTTGTCTTTTCGTCTTCTTGAGAGTTTCCAACAAAGCAAAATTTTAAGATTTTAAGTCCAATTTTTCAGTCTTACTTTTTATGAAACTTCTAAGAGCACTCTGCCT